TAGGAATTCACAAACACCCACCATTCGGCTGGGAAAGGGAGTTCGATCGGGTGGGGGACCTTCGCGTAGGCGGAGTTTAGGGGTAGCGACTACTGGATAAATGGATCCAGTGTCTTGAGCAATGCTTTAATCATATTTAAGGGTATATATATATATATATATTAGCGTTCGCATGCTTTCCTTATAGAGCACTGCGACACATTTTAGAACAGATTATTTCCCAATCACTAGATCGCTTTGTACACGCACAATATGTGCCTAGCTTCAACGTCTATTTTTGTACTCCTGCTTTGGAGAGGTAATTTCCGTTTGAAATGCTTCTAGCTATCTTTTAATTTTCGATTTTCCTATATTAACCTTCCTGACAACCCTGTGGTTGTAAATGCAGTATCCCATCTTTCCCAAACGCACACATTTGTGGCTGTTAAAATATTAATTACAATTTCTCTACTATTCCCTCCTACTCTCACACTAGTTAGCAATATTTTCAGATTAGGCCAAAGACGGACTGCCTTCCGTTTTTGACAATACTTTGAAGCACCTAATTTAGTGGGAAACTGATAGGAAAATGATTTCTAGCGACCTCACGGAATCACCTGTGGAGCGCTCACTTAATGAGGCTGCGGACGCAGTATTGAAGCCTGAAGCGAAGCAAAAACTTCGTGAATCCCTCATTACTGAGCAAATCGAGCAGTCTAAGTATCTCCGGGCCCATAGCGAAATCGGTGAGGTAGTTCAAATCGCTATATCTAGACTTCTTAAAGATCAGCCTCAAGACACGGTGTCGTATTTATCGGATTTCTTTTCGAATAACGATCTAGATTTGCTTGTAGAAAAGGCTCGAGCTGAGGTTGAGGAGAGAAATCGTAATGCAAAGCGCCGACCACCGTCTCCTCCACCCTAAACGCCGAATATGTGCATTGGAATCGTTTCTCCATATAGAAAGGAATTGGGTGATGGATAGACAAAGAAAAAGAGAATAAACAGACAACGTTACGTTTTGCTACCAGTTTGGCACCGAAATCTGATGTAGACTATTTCTCCATATCGGAGGTGTTTGATAAATTTATACAATAGATAGCGCGCATTGCAGGCAAGTTAATGAGTCTAAACCGCGCAAGAGAGCGTTGGACATTCTTGTATTTTTCATTCCTATCCCTCTCTCTCTCCCCCCCCCCACACACAACAAAAAAAAAAAACGAAATTAATAGAGTAAATACTT